TTATAAAATGGGACTTATTAGTTATGTGAGATTTATCTTAAGAAATTAAAGTGCAGGAACCCTTTTAGTCCCCGGGCAGTTCCAATAAGCATCCTGGGACATAGGCCATCTCACAGGGCACAGCTGAACTTAACAATCGTCGGAGAAGTAAGTTGGGTACCTCCTGGTGATAAGATACCAAAGTGCTGCACCTCCCTTCAAATTGGAAATGTCATTCTCTCTAAATTAAATCCCTCAAGCTACAGTTTAATTAAGCTCATCTCCTGGCCTAGAGATGGAAATCAGCTGACTTCTATCCTTCAGCTTGGCGAGGTGGAGAGAACGTTGGATTCTACAGGCTCAGAGTCTGTTCCAGACTTTGTGTGACCTCCAGTGTCACCTCTGACATTCCCCAGCTACAGGAGGGCTACATTCACTGCCATGTGTCCCTCTACTCTGACATCCATGCTCCTTTGTGTCTCAGTCCTGTATAGGACATCTAGCTGCCATCTCTGATTTGACAGACACTTAGCAAAAGCTCATCATTGGCCATGGTGCCGTGAGAAAGTGCAGTTAAAACAGGCCCTGTGTAGTGAGTGACAGCCCACACATCCATGTCTGCACAAGTTGTGAGAAGAATATTCTTGCCCAGATGATTCTTTGTCTCATGGCCACCTGTGCTAGAATGTTCCTGTGCTACAAAGTAATCACAAAGTCAGTAGCATCATATCAAGCTCGCCTGTCCACATGCACGTCCATGTGGTGGAGGAGGGAGCTCCCTGGAGGAAGGGGGGGCTCCCAGGGCACATGCAGATCACCCCCACCCGCCAGACCCAGCCCGAGTTCTCAGGATTCATTGACCATGCCTGGGCCCTCCCAGCTTACTGCCCTGGCCACCCTCCAGGGAACAGCCACCACGTCCAACTAGGGAAGGGCAGCCTGCCCCACCACCCAACTCGGACTGGAGTCCCTTACTTAGAGGGAAAGGTCTCTTCCTGCCCCACCGCCCCATACAGGTGCTGGAGTCCCTTACTTAGTCTCTTCCTGCCCTGCCACCCCTGCCCGCCGCCCTACGCAGGGGCTGGAGTCCCTTACTTAGAGGGAAAGGTCTCTTCCGGCCCCGCCACCCCATACAGGTGCTGGAGTCCCTTACTTAGTCTCTTCCTGCCTTGCCACCCCTGCCCGCCGCCCTACGCAGGGGCTGGAGTCCCTTACTTAGAGGGAAAGGTCTCTTCCGGCCCTGCCACCCCATACAGGTGCTGGAGTCTCTTACTTAGTCTCTTCCTGCCCTGCCACCCCTGCCCGCCGCCCCCCGCAGGGGCGGTAGTCTCTTACTTAGAGGGAAAGGTCTCTTCCTGCCCCGCTGCCCCATACAGGGGCTGGAGTCCCTTACTTAGTCTCTTCCTGCCCTGCCACCCCCCGCAGGGGCGGTAGTCTCTTACTTAGAGGGAAAGGTCTCTTCCTGCTCCGCTGCCCCATGCAGGGGCTGGAGTCCCTTAGAGGGAAAAGGTCTCTTTCACAGGTGCCACACTGCATGGTGTGACCCACTGTGTGCCCTGGTGAAGGAACCTGAGGTCAAGTGTAATCGGTCCATCACAGGGGCACAGGATGGGCTAATTCTTATGGGGAAAACGAGGCCCCAGAAAACAGGTGTGAAAGCCAAGTGCAACCAGGGTGGCCTGCTTTTCCTGTTGTGGGTGTGACAGATGGAAGTGCGCGCAGATTTTCCCTTTTTGAATTGAAAAAACATGCTTCCTCCTTGCTGCTACTGGTGCGCGAGATAAGCTACATTATTCTAGCTTACATGTGGGGATGGGCAGACAGAGTGTTTCCAGGTGACTTTTATTTTTTCCCCTTGGTTTCAGTAGATGGACACGCCATGCTGTGAAGATTTCCCAAATGTCTAGGTTTTTATCTGCCACGTGGATATCTTCCCGTAGGAGTGGTCCTGTTGAGCAGGGCAGTACATCTGTGGAATCAGGAGGCATAGTTCAAGGAGGACAGTCCCACCTTCTGGGACTTTTGTAGTGGGTACTTCACAATGCATTCCTTGTTCTGCTGTGTAATTCCCCTGCGTCTGAGAACACACACACACACAAGCTGAAACTGCAGGTGCTGTGGAGTCTCTCAGAACCCATCCCTGAGTGTGGCTGGCCGTCTGGAACCTACCTCTCGGGGCTGTGCTCCCAGCAGGACTCGTGTCTGGTGTGTGTGTTCTGTCCTGTACGTGGCGATTTCTGAATGTGTGTGCAGACAGTGCCTGGTCCTGCAGGCCCGCCATACCTGTGTCCCGTGAACTGCAGACTTCCTCTCCATTCCGCTTCTGCTGAGTTTTCCTATATGTTTCTGTCATGGCCCACTTGCAGCAGACAGTTCCCTCAACTTCTGAACTTCCAGTTCCATTTTCACATTGCACATTTCTTGAGTGAAATCTCGTGGGCCAACTGACGTGTAAGTCTGAAGGGAGTTTCAGGTGCCACCAACATGGAGTCTGCAGGCAGTGCTCCATTCGTGTCCGTGGCTGAGGTCACCAGTGACTGCTGACAGCATAGACCCTTTAGAGCAGTGAGCGCTGCCCATGGCTTGCTGTAGAAGCCCTGACCACCAGCTGTATTCCGGGGGTGCCCTTCAGGTATGGGGTGCTCAGGGTTTTCCTTACTTGCATACTCTGGCCAACTTAAAATGCCCTTTTGCTGCCTGAGCTTGTCATGTCGCCTTCTTAGTGTGACTACTAACAGTAGTAGTCGCTGTTACCCACCTTAGACTCCTCACCATTCTTGATCCCTTCCAGGTCTCTCTTACATCATCTGCCGCATCTTTATCCCCTGTACCTAACACTGTCATACCTCAGTTATTAGTGCCGTCTTAGCTTACTAATTCTGAAATGCAGTGGGGATAGATGATGAATTGCACACCAGTAAACCATGAAAACAGTAAAAACGTCTCGGGGGTCCATGTGGACCCCTGCCTGGTCATTGCTGTGACCTGGCCAGTCTCGGCCGTCCAGCTGTCCCCCTCAGCTCCCTCGATGTCCTTTTGCACCATCTGGGAAGAGCTGTCAAGCATGAACACACACGGAGGCGTCCTCGTCACCTTTAACCCAGGCCCCTGTGGCTGGCATATTGCTGCCCCATGTTACATCTATTGTGGCGGGTGCCGCAGTTTATATATCAATTGTGGCGGGTGCTGCAATTTGTCAGCTACCCACTCCCCAGCCCACCCACCTGCCATGCCTCGGAGCCAGGCTTGTACAGGTGCAGAATAAAAGCTGCTTTTGTGACTTCAGCCAAGCAGAGTTTCCCCAGAGGTAAGCAGTCTCCTCCACTATCCCAGCCCGTTTTTTCCTATGTGGACTGCACAAAGCTTCAGAGTCTCCAGAGAAGGTGAAGGCTATTTCAGAACGTCACTTGACATTTAAACCTCTGTCTCTGGTCCCAGATAAAAACAGTCGAGCTCATTTAGAATACAATCAAGTCCTAACTTTAAAGGACTGGGACAAACATATCAAAGGCCGGTACTCTGGCAATCAGATGATGGAGAAAACAGCCCGGATGGTCTGAAGGGCAGCCACTCCCCTCCCGTCCCCTCAGAAGGAAACTGTGAGTCACAGAGGAGAAACCCAGGGACTCGGTGCTGTCATAAGGGAGGCAGTGGGTCCAGCTGCTGTGGGCAGCGTGGTGCTGTCAGACCACAGCGCCATGGTTCTGGCTCCCCTGAGCCCTGCAGTTCCGAGCTAACCATTAGCTCTGTGAAGGTCATATGGCATCCATCTACCATCATGATATGGATCCCTTCACTCCATGCATCAGCCTGTGGGACAAGTTGGCTAATGCCACGTCTTAGGCCTGGATAGAATCAAAGAGCAGGGAGAGAAGAAAAAAGGGAGGGAGTGGAGAGGAAAACTGTCCTCATGCTTTCTGTGGCACAGCCCACCAGTGGTTACATGTGAAAGAGTTTTCCACTGACCTGAAAGCGTCAGAGCACATGGAGCCTCTCTCACTGCAGCGGCATCTGGGCCCTCCTGGGACAGCAGCACATTGGGTGTCGACTGTATCTAAAAGACAAAGGGCTCAGAGCAGAGGTGCGGGCAGAGCTGCAAGCCCAGCCTGGACAGCCTCAGTAGCCCCGGCCACACAGGAGCAGCTGTCCCTCCACAATGTCGGGGCCGCCACAGCATCTCAGCTGAAAACGGTTCCCAAGCCTGCCTACACATGGAGCACAGGGAAGACACTTGCCAGGCACATGCTTTCCTGATGTGGAGGGTGAGGGAAAGGTACCATGCTGGGACCAGGCTCACCTTTGACCACTCAGTAGATGTCAGGGAATCCTGATGTCTTAACTCTGAGGAAATCCTCATGTGAAGCTCACTGTGTATTGTTGACACAATGGTGCGTTTCAGAGCTCACTAGCTAGTGCAGCGCACTCTCACCCTACTTTAAATGCCGCATCTAAGCAAAGAGCACAGGAGGGTTTGAATGCCACTGTGTCGGTGACCCTAATAATAAAGTGGATTTGCACGATCACCCGGAAGAAAGTGCCTGTGGACACCGCATCAGCACCTCTGTGCTCTCGGACTGCTGGCACATAACCTGATGCACAGAAACTGAATTCTTACCTACACCACCCTAACCATTTAATTTTCAAATGATAGTACATAAAACCTCCGCAGCTCTCAAGTGGCTTTACATTTAAAAAACTTGATTTTTATTCTTGGAATTGTATCTCATGCTCTGTATGTTCTATTCTTGATTGAACAGGTTGTTATGAGCTGAGTAAATAAAGCTTTACAGAGTACTGACTCGATCCTGATAACGCCTGGCCTGTAACAAAGTCCCCCCACTTAGAGGCACCATTGTCGGTGCCATGAACTGTCCTCTGTGCAGTCTTAGGCAGGAAGCTGCCACCCCATTTCTGCCTCATTTTGCTCAGTGGCAAAGCTGACAGCAATGTCAGTGACAAACCCGTCATTTAGGTGTCTAGGCACAGAACAGGCCATCTCGACTTTCTTTTTCTTCCCACAGTGCCTTGTCTTTGAAGATGCTCCCAACGGCGTGGAGGCGGCCCTGGCAGCCGGGATGCAGGTGGTCATGGTTCCTGACGGAAACCTGAGCCGTGAGCTGACGACCAGGGCCACGCTGGTGCTGAGCTCCCTGCAGGACTTCCAGCCTGAACTGTTTGGCCTGCCCCCCTACGAGTGAGGTGCAGCTGCATCACGGTGCTCCTGACCCGCTCAGCGACCATGCTGCTGGGACGGAGGGGAGGACAGTGATAGCCCTAGACCCCCACCTGTGTTTCATCCTGATTGTTTGATTGTCTCAGCCCACTCTGAAGTGCTCATAAAACATGGCTTGGTGGTAGGGAGGAAATGCAGCAGACAGCCTAAAGGTCATGTCAGATCTAGACTGCTGCCTGAAATCCGGGCTGGTTCTGCTGGTACTGTACATGCTAAAGAGCGTGGACACCCACACGTGTGTGCAGGAGTGTCAGTGTGCATGCCTTGTGTATGTGAAGGTATCTGTGCACACGTGTATTTGTAAAGGGCGTACTTCTCCAAAACAAAACAAGTTCTGTGTGTGTTGGTTTTTCTGAACACTTGACTGGTTAATGTAAAGTGTGCATACGTGTCTGGATATGTTTTTAAGTGCATGTGCATATGTGTTATATTTACGTATGTCGTACACACTGCTTTATCCTCCTGCACTCTGTTAACATGCAGAAACAACTGGCTCTGTGGGGTGTCGAGTCTGCCTGCTTGTCGTCTGCGTGGGAAAGCCGTGCTTGTGACGAGCGCTGAGAAGTCATTCTCCTTCTTAGCTAGCATTAAAGTTCTTCTGTGACCTTGGCATCTCTCTGGGCCTCTACTCATTGATTGACTCTGAGCCAGTGTTTTATAGTTGATCAGTAGTTTATTTTTAATGTGACCATGATTGTAGCACTTATCTTATATCTCCATCTGTGTCCACATTTGAGAATGTTTTCTACCTCAGAAAGAACGCTGCCTTTTTTAAGCACATTGACCTTCTACATTTCTTTGATGTAAGTAGAATTTGATTTCAGGATATGGACTTGATGAGGCCAAGAGCCATAACACACTTGAAATAATTTATCAGACATTATTACACTTTTATAACTAATTTGTTTTATAGATTTACTTAGCCTTTGAAATCTGTCTGTGATTTGTTAAAGAAAAATCTTGGAAATGATGAAAATAAGGCACAGGGGCTCTGCCTGGCACAACTTTCCCGGGATCTGTGCCCTTTGTTTTCCTGGGGCTCCTTTTACCTCCAGAAGCAGCAGGCAAGACAGAGGCGAACGTGCATGTGTGGTGCCCCGGGGGTCCCTGGTGGGCTTCCCTCCATCAGCACACTCGTATCAGCATTCCTGGTGGGCTTCCCTCCATCAGCACACTCTGTCAGCATCCCAGCAGCCTGCAGGGTGGCCTCCCCTCCATCAGCACACTCATGTCAGTATTCCCAATCCTGTCAGGTGGGCTTCTCCTCCATCAGCACACTCGTATCAGCATTCCTGATACCCTGTGGGGTGGGCTTCCCCTTGATGGTACACTCATATCAGCATTCCTGACA